ACGCTCATATTGCGCACTGACAATTAAGTTATTTCAACAAAATTAAAACCATTTCAACACCATACAGTTCCCATTATCCATCAAAACATTAAAACATCACGGATCACTTTTGCCAATTCAAATTTTCTTGACGTAAATAGGAAGAAATTCTGTCTGTTGTAAGTATAGCACCACCTTATTTTATGAACCTATCACTAATACACGGCCTTATATAAATAGTGAAGCCGCATTCATTTTATCTAGCCGTGTTTTTGCACTTTTGGCCGCGATAACACGGCCAACACGGCCCTCTAGCTAAGATCCTGATCACATGTAGTTGTTGTATTAGATACATATATATTATAAGAACTTTATTATTTTCTATATTACAAAATTTACAATCTATATTTTATACATTATTATATCTCAAATTAGTTGTGCCACCCATTTATAGAATTTCATAAATTAAAACAAAAATACTAAATCATGCCTACTAAAAACTTATTAAAATTCCTATCAACATATCACATGTAGTTGTTGTATTAGATACATATATATTATAAGAACTCTATTATTTTCTATATTATAAAATTTTACAATCTATATATTATACATTATTATATCTCAAATTAGTTGTGCCGCCCATTTATAGAATAGCATAAATAGAAATAAAGCAAAAATCCTAAATCATGGCTGTTAGAACTTATTCAAATTCCTATCAACATATCACATGTAGTTGTTGTATTAGATACATATATATTATAAGAACTTTATTATTTTCTATATTACAAAATTTACAATCTATATTTTATACATTATTATATCTCAAATTAGTTGTGCCACCCATTTATAGAATTTCATAAATAGAAATAAAACAAAAATCCTAATTCATGCCTACTAAAAACTTATTCAAATTCCTATCAACATATCACATTTATTCACATGTAGTTGTTGTATTAGATACATGTATATTATAAGAACTCTTTTATTTTCTATATTATGTAGTTGTTGTATTATATACATATATATTATAACAACTTTATTATTTTCTATATTACAAAATTTACAATCTATATTTTATACATTGTTATATCTCAAATTAGTTGTCAGCCACCCATTTATAGAATAGCATAAATAGAAATAAAACAAAAATCCTAAATCATGGCTGCTAAAAACTTATTCAAATTCCTATCAACATATCACATGTAGTTGTTGTATTAGATACATATATATTATAAGAACTTTATTATTTTCTATATTACAAAATTTACAATCTACCGGGTGTCCCAAAAAAAAGTACTCCGGTTTGATTCGTAATAACTTCTAAACAAGTAAAGTTTATAAAGAGAAGTAACTTGCATCAAATAGAGGAAAGGCTAACTTAGATTTTGATATGTTACAGTTGCATTTCACTTAAAAATTCACGGAGATATTAATGTTTAAAATCGGGAGCATGTTTCTGGATGTGTCTGAAATATGCAAAAAACGGCGTATCAAATACTAATCAAGATTTGCCCGACTGAAACATGCACTATTACCAGTAAATAAGTGACACTTGACAAATTGTTTATTATGAAACAAAGTATTATTATCTACAAAATACAAGCAAGATTTATTCGTCCGAAACCCGCGTGTGTAATTCCTAGCACGAAAACGCTTCCTTATTTCATGAGACCACTGCATAGCGAAAGATCGCCATGGATCGTTCGTAGTTCTGAATTAGGGCATGCTGTTACAATGGAATTGTGAAGGTCTTCTAACTAATTCTGCAACGTTCTGAAATTTTGTTACGAACACTCAAACTCTTTTGCCTTTTCTTAGTCTTGGCAAGTTCAGAATAAACTGAGAATGAAACACAATCAAACCATACAACTCCATAAGACATACTAAGCAACTCCCCATGCAGAGACATCCAACATTTTTGGAACAAAACGTAACAAAATAGTAGCGTTGATACTGTTGTATTTGCAAAAAGAAATATTTCCTTCATTAAAGAATAATAGTCATCCTACTCTAACCGATAAATGATCAACTCTGTTTTGAACCCATGAAAAAACATAAAACAATTAGGCTATTTAAGAAAAATTTAAGCGCCTGCCTTGCATGGTCTTTCATGTACCTTTAAGTTTGTAAAGACCTATTAAATACTCGCATAATTTCGAACGTTCATATTTCAGGAAACAATGAGCTAAGACTTACATGTAAGATGTCTAAATCTACGCCATATCCCTTACAAACCCTAACGACAATTCGCTGAAATACAAGTTAGCCTAATATGTCATTTATTAAATTAATTTAAGCAAACAAACGCTGGAGTTAACATTTGATATGCCGATTTTCGCTAATTTTAGGCACATCCCAAAACATGCTCCCGATTTTGAACATTAATATCTCCGTGAATTTCTAAGTAAAATACAACTGTAATATATCAAAATCTAAGTTAGTCCTTCCTCTATTTAATGCAAGTTATTTCTGTTTGATAGCTTTACTTGTTTAGAAGTTATTATAAATCAAACTGGAGTACTTTTTTTTGGGACACCCGGTATATTTTATACATTATTATATCTCAAATTAGTTGTGCCACCCATTTATAGAATTTCATAAATAGAAATAAAACAAAAATCCTAATTCATGCCTACTAAAAACTTATTCAAATTCCTATCAACATATCACATGTAGTTGTTCTACTAGATACATATATGTTATAAGAACTCTATTATTTTCTATATTACAAAATTTACAATCTATATTTTATACATTATTATTTCTCAAATTAGTTGGGGCACTCATTTATAGAAAATTATAAATTAAAACAAAAATACTAAATCATGCCTACTAAAAACTTATTCAAATTCCTATCAACATATCACATGTAATGTTGTATTAGATACATATATATTATAAGAACTTTATTATTTTCTAAAATTACAAAATTTACAATCCATATTTTATACATTATTACATCTCAAATTAGTTGTGCCGCCCATTTATAGAATTTCATAAATTGAAATAAAACAAAAATCCTAAATCATGCCTGCTAAAAACTTATTCAAATTCCTATCAACAGATCACATGTAGTTGTTGTATTATATTTAACAAGTTGATATACAGTTATATCAACACGAGTGGAATTGGTTTTGCCAACTTCCACGAGTGTTGATATAACTATATATCAATACGGAAAAATGTTTTATATTTTTTTTATAATATAGCAATGTGAAAAGCCCAAAGGATGAGAAAAATTTCCGTGTTTACGAGCAGCGGAAAATTTCCCGTGTTGACATTGAGTTATATCAACACGGCTCTTAGCCAATCAGCGTTCAGAATTTACAAATGCTATATTATAAACATGTTTATTATAAGAACTTTATTATTTTCTATATTACAAAATTTACAATCTATATTTTATACATTATTATATCTCAAATTAGTTGCAGCACTCAATCCACTCATTTATAGAATTTCATAAATATAGAAATAAAATGAAAATTCTAAATCATCTCTGCTAAAAACATATTCAAATTCCTATCAACATATAGCATGTAGTTGTAATAAGCATATTTCATAATATGTTTATGCCGCAATATTAGCTTTTTGCCTGTTGTAATCATGCATCATTGTCATAGATTAATCAGTCCACCATATTGTTCGGTAAGTCGAGCTTCTTGAATAAATATTATTATTATTATTACACACTGCCATATTGTTTCCTCTTAAATTAATTTGGACTTACTTTGTTCCCAATCGCAGGAACCCTGCATTTTATTGCTATTAATATTATAAATACCCACTAACCTTACAACATAGTCTTTATAGAAAATCATAAATAAAAACAAAAATCCTAATTTTTTGTAAAAGTTGATATGCTTTGCAAGTCTTGTTTATAAGATTTTTAAAAGAAACAGTATTGTATTTTCTACGACTAGAGCTCAATATAGGCAAATGTAAACATTTGATACTACTAGCCAAACAGAGAAATGTCTGTTAGTGATTTATCCCCACAAAATTTTGGACTTAGTACATGATTTGTATTTGGTAATTTAATAGTCAGGCTGTAGTCTTTTGCTTGGTCTCTATACTATAATCCTAATATACTATTATCTATATCACAAATTTACAGTGTCAGATGAATTTTCTCTCTTTCTCTATTTACAAATAGACATAAATTTTCGAGTTTTCTACTTCTACTTGGAATAGAATGTTACTTTTTAAATGGACAGCTTGTATCGTTTCTACAGGATTGCTTGTGTGTAAATAGATGTATCACTATAACGCTATCAAATAAATGTACAAATATATTTGAGAGCCTTAATTGTTTTACTTAATAGTAGCATAATGACTAATGAACTAGAAATAAACAGATGATTCACAATTAAAACTTTAAATGTACAAAGCAAAAAAAAAAGGAAATCTCACTTCACACTTGTTATTATAAAGAATATATATAAAGCAGAAAATTAAAGCTTGTGTCAAAACGAAAGCTGTTTATAAAATTTATAAATGTCGTACTACAATAAAAGCAGTGTTTGTTGAAAGACATATAATATATTGTCATTTGAAATATCTTTGATCAGGGTTCGTACACCTTCATAATTTAAAATATCCAGGGTTTTCCAGGACTCTTTTCATCCTTTTTCCAGGGGTTTTCCAGGGGCATTTGAAATATAAATCTATAAGTGTTTACTGTTGTTCCAATTGAAGTGTTGCTCAAATATTGATTCAATACATTACCTTGGGCTGACCAATTCATTTCATCAAGTTCCTCAAGATATTCATACACTTCCTGTGAAAGAGCCAATTCCAACTCTATTCTATATTATAAAATCTACAATCTATATATTATATCTACAATCTTAAATTAGTTGGGCACCCATTTATAGAAAATCATAAATTAAAACAAAAATCCTAAATCATGCCTCCTAAAAACTTATTCAAATTCAAGAACTCTATTATTTTCTATATTACAAAATTACAATCTATATATTAATTAGAAAATCATAATTTATAGAAAATCATCAATAAAAATAAAACAAAAATTCTAAATCATCCCTGGCTCCCTGCTGAAAACTTATTCAAATTCCTATCAACATATAGCATGTAGTTGTCAGAAGCATATTTTGTGATATGTTTATACAGCAACATTTGCATTTTGCCTGTTCTAATTGTGCATCATTGTTACATATTAACCAGTCTGCTATATTGTTCATTTGTTACACTCCGCCATATTGTTTCCTCTTAATTTGGACTTACGTTGTTCATAATCGCAGGACCCCCCCCCTCCCCTCATTGATATTAGGTGTAAAAAAATACCTGTGGTTCCAGTTCCCGACCGACTCTATTATTTTTTTCAACGCGATTGACCGTGCAACCCTTTTTTCTCTGGGTGATTGCGGGCTGCTGCCAAAATGGTGTCTGTTGTCACACTAATTATTGAAAAAACTATGAAAAAAATACTCCAAAAAAATTTATTTCCGACCTACCGTCCCTAATTTTTTCGCGATATGAACCAGAACCACAGGTATTTTTTTACGCCTTATTATAAATATCCACTAACCTTACAACATTTTCTTTCATACCATTTTATCCATTAGTATTGCACATTTGCCCAATATCTCCCTCATTATGTTGCACATTTGCCCAAGATATCCCTCATGGTGTTGCACATTTACCCAATATATCCCTCATGGTATTGCACATTTGCCCAAGATATCCCTCATGGTGTTGCACATTTGCCCAAGATATCCACCAAGATAATGCACATTTGCCCAAGATATCCACCAATACTCTTCAATGATGTGGTAAGGTGGGGGTAATTTCACATTTGGTATTGAAAAAAGGGTTGGGGTCCGATCCTGAGGGGTCTAATGCGTGGATTTCACGCTTGATGCCTTATCCTAAGCTAGTCGAGTTTATCTTACTCGCTCATGTTGGTCTTAACTAAAACCTAAGAGACCTAATGCGCTTGTAAATATTTAAATGTGCAAGTCCTAGCAAGATACCCACAATTACATGCCACCATTTTAACAGTCGGAAACTTTTAGCATGTAGTTTAAAAACACTATATATATACTTGTGTAAAACTACTGCATATTTTTATAAAATGTAGTACATCCCTAAGCCATGAACGACACTTTATACTTGCCTTTCATCGTAACTAGAACACACATGGGCAGTGAATCTTAGGTTTTTCTAAATTTGAAATGTCAATAAACTGTGCTGTCTATTTCAGAAGTTTAATATTAAGCATATAGCATTGCAATATAGTATGTAGATGTCATCCTTACAAAAATGACATAGTCTATATTTCATTAGACAGTCTAAAACATAGAGTGATAGTAATAGCTGTCCCATATAGAAACAGCAGTGAAGTAATTTGGAAAGTCAATCGAAAAGTACAGTTGATTGAAAAGTACAGGCATCCCTGAATGTAGCAAACCAAGTTTTAGTAATAGCAAGCTGTCCTTTTATAGAAACAGCACCCAAAATGTTTTATTTGAAAAATAATTGAAATTTTTTTAGGCTAAGGCATATAGCCATAGCAAGCTGCCCTTTATAGAAACAGCACCGAAATAACATCACAACTTTATTAGATATCCCATGATACCTGCAGCACTTCCAGCCATTCAACACAGAAAAACAGTACACCCAAAAAGTGGCGCCTTTCTTTTTACATGTACTGCTTTTGTTCATGCTGAATGATTGGAAGTCTCACAGAGACCTTGGAAAAATAATAAAACTGAAATGGCACTGCCCATGCAAACAGCTTTCAAATCTCAAAATTTTCAAAAAATTTCTTACTGGTGAAATGGTAGCATGTAAAATGGAGTCTAAGGCCACATAAAAAAATAGTTGGTTAGCATCTTCGCCCGCCCACAAAAAAGGCCCCGCTCAGGATTTTTTTTTATTTTTTATTTTAAAAAAACCCAACTTTTATTGATCAACAGGTTCTAATATAGGTAGTATTTCTGTTGACTGTAGTCAATTGTGTTAATAAGTGGCAAAATTGCGTGCGAAAATGACGGTATGAATCATATTTTGAAATATATAAAAAAATATCTGTACTGCGCATGAAAATCCAGTTTCGGACCTAAAACCAAGGCGTTAAAAAATTAGTAAAAATTTTAAAAAACCGCCCACCCACCCACTTTTTGGCAAAAGCTAAGGACGCTAACCAACTATTTTTTATGTGGCCTAATGTTCAGAAGGCATGCAGTTGAGTGGGGAATCTCAACTCCTTCCAGCTTTAAAGTCATGCATGAGTCATGATATTTATGAACATAAAATAAATTTGGGGAAATAAAAACAAAAATGTGCAGGTTAAAAATACTTGACTGCCTAGTACAGTGGGAGTTGTAGGTTTGCCAGCGACACACATTGTCGACCATTCACTACAATGTCCGATGTCCGAGTCTCTTCGCAGCAAGCACATGGCCGGGACGACATTCTGGACAATTTCAACATTTCTTGTTTTCGCTAAAATGACAAATTTTAAAACACATTTAGCTCCAAAATACCCTAAATACTTAATGCACTCTTCTCTCTACTAATTTAAACTAAACTTCACGAAACGTAAGGTATAATTCAGTAATATGCTCGGTAATATGCCATAACAAAACGAACATCGAACGTGAAGCGACTTGCGGTTGTCAACTTCGACAAGTAGTTTTAACCACTTTAACTCGCTAAAATATCAACATTTCACATCAAAATGATAGAACATACCTTAACCTTGCCTTTAACTTCGGATTTTGCGCTTCTTTGCTGTATTTAAGCGTCGTATCTTCCCCTTTAAAGTACAAATAACAGGCGAAGACTTCGAGTGAAATTTGAGAGCCGTCCTAAATTTGAATATAATTTATTCTCTGGAATGCTATTATTTCTGCTTCAATACAGACATCTGATTGGTTGGTATTTACAAAAGAATCTCCCTGATTGGTCAATACAAAAATTATTCAGAATTTATAATTTTCCCGGTACATGAACGTTTAAAATTATCTATAAAATTTTTACAGATTTTTCGTATCAAAGCTTAGGGGCGGACCATTTGATTTCTGAGGGGGGAGGTGGAAGATTCAGTCTGTGCAAGAATTTTTTTTCCGCCCAGCGAACGAGACAGATATTTTTTTCCTGTAAAAGTGCAGCGCAAGATATTTTTTTCCCAATATATTTGGCCGCAGGATATTTTTTTTGCCTCTCATAATAACGGCTTACAGTAACTTTAGGCTTTCATATAGCTATCATCGGAGACGTAGCAGGGGTTTTCAGTCAGAGGAGGCCGAGAACTGAATCCCAAGAGGGGCCAAGGCATTTTCACTGTGCTTTATTTTATATATGGTTATGTCTTAATGTTCCCCACACTAAAGCGTGCAAGTTTACTTACAAAGAATGTATAACTGCACCAAAACCTAAAACATGCAGGGATAGAGTAGAGTACTCGAAAATGGGGGAGGGTACAGTATATGAATGACCTGTAACCTTGGGGGATTCGGGGGCATGCTCCCCCGAGAAAATTTTGAAATTTGAACCTCGGAAATGCTATTTCCTGCGTTTTCAGCCATGGATAATTATCTTAAGCCCAGATTTTCTCAGGGGGGGGGCAACAATTTTGCCAGGGAACACCACTGGCTATCGTATGTCAGAGGCTCCAAAGGCGGTAGAAGCCGGTAGAAGGCGCTCTCTTTTGCATGATATTTTTTTTTCTCGATTGTGTGCTGCATGATTTTTTTTTTCTTTCTCCTTGGGTTGCAGGAAATTTTTTTTCGAAATCTTCCACCCCCCCCCTCAAAAGTCAAATGGTCCGCCCCTTACAGTAACTCTTGAAATATTTTGACTGAAAGCAACCTCACTTGTGACGTATCATATGCATATCCCACTGAGCTATACCACAGATGAGGTAGATACAGATGTGAATCTTCTGTCAAATTGCTGATTGTTTTGTGTCACACGGAATTCTCACTTCCGGCGAGCGCTGGCAAGTGTCGTTCTGAAATTTAATAAGGAAAGAGATAGGAAAACGCCGTTCGAAAGACGAAAAATTGTTTTTTTTAAAAATCTACGCTACCGACGGCTATTTTTGGAATTAATTCTTCAAGAGTATCGGTAAGCGATCACTTTTATTGATTTCTTTTTATTAAAAGTGATAACATAACATTTTATTTAGCAAAAGTTTGTTTTTTTCCCTATCTATTCCTTATTAAAATCGTGAAATACACTTGCTGGGAATTTCAGATGCTCATGTATAATAATAAAACAGCGAATGATATAAATTCCTCAAAACATAACTCTGGCATAAAAAAAACATGAATACTTCTATAATATGTATAGTTTTATTTCTCTGCATTATCAAAATTTAATAAAATAGTGAATTAATACAATTTTAAAGTTTATTTAATCGGTGTGACATAATTTGCCGTGAGATTCACATCTGTATTTACCTCATCTGTGGCTATACTATATTACTGGAGGACCTGCTCGGCATCAAGAGGTGAAGCCAAAAACATGGCGGATTTTCACGTTTGCTGACGCCAGAATGACGCCACTGGTCCCAAATCCTCGTGGTAATTACCACTGACCAACCGCGATCCTCGGTTTCAGACGACAATTTCACCCCCCTGGTTTTTGCACAAAAAAGCTGAAACTCTGCTGAAAATTTATATAAACGTCATAAAAAACATCAAGAAAAAATGCCGAGTTTTTGCATGGCTTCATGATGCCACAATTCTTTAATATCAAGAAGAGACACTTCTTTTTACCGGTAAGATGTATATTAAACTCTTTCTCTGTGTTTCATTTGTACTAAATTCTGTTTTTTAAAAGAAAAAATTGGATACGAAATTTACAAATATAACGACGCTGTACAGCAGCTGGTGTTATTCTGCCTTTATCACTTTTCGTTGTGTTTTATTTTGCCATTTGGGTAGGTTATAGTTTTTGTTTTCCTCTCGAGTCCTTACCCAAAGATCCAACAGCCCCAACATCAATTTTCACATACAGTATTGTAATAGAAATGCCTTAAGGCTTAAAATGATGGACAAGTGTCAAGTCACAAATGCCATGGAGTCAATAGTCGAACTTATCCTAGGGTTTTAATATATTGTCATAGGAGGCCCAATATATGGTTGTAATGGGCACAAAAAAGATCAAAACTGTTCCTAACAAGTGTCTCTGTAGGAGTATAAGTGTTGAATAAAAGCTTGCAAGGCTCACACTACAATTTTGAGTTGTGATTTTAACAGACAATTTTAATCTTTTTTCATGGCTAACATAGGAGGCATCTCTGCGAAGGTTCCAATAGATAGTTGTACAAGTAAAGTTTTAGTTCATATATAAAAAGGCCAGCAAATAGACATGAATTTTTCTTGACGAATATGAATTTATGGATAGTACATGGGTGGGGATGCTTATTTCACAACACTCTAATTTCTATGTCTGAAAGATCGACATATTTTAATATTTGAAATGGGAAAAAAATAATATAATGTTCAATAGCATGTAGATCAAATTATATACATAATATAGTAGATGACTGATTGGATGTATTCTATTACACTTTTCCAGATGCCAAGAAAAATCCTGAGATGTGTTGAAAACTTGAAGAATGCCCTGGTTAAATTTTATGCCACAAAGGGAATCACCTTTGTTCAAAGCAATTAGTATAATATTCCATTCATCCATCGAGGGGCAGCACTCTCCACTTGATGAGTAAAATCATCTGGCATTAGACAGAGTAAAATACTTTGGCATAAGACAGAGTAAAATACTAAAAGTAGGGCACATCAGGGTGCATTGCCACTTAATTAAAGGGTTAACTCATTCAGCAATCTCCCCTTCACAAATAAAATTTGCCATTAGACAGAATAATAAAGTAGGGTGCATTGTGTTGCATTCAGACTTATCAAAGGCTTAACAGGATGCATAGGCATATACTGGTCAACCCATAGAGTGCCAGAGCTCTCCCCTTGCATTGACAAGTATATTCGTCTGGCATTTGAAAGGAAAATTATGTGGTGGATTGCCTGACTTATCAAAAGGGATAATAGGGGCCCACAGCAACTCTCTTGTTCTCTCAGGGGGGGAGGGGGTTAGGTTACACTCACAAATGCATAATAGCTGTTATCGTATTTGAATACCCGCTGTGGCGAGAACCAGCGGTATCTCAGTGGAAGTACGAATGAAAACGAGGCTAAAGGGTAAAAAACACAAAACATGACCCTATAGCCTTGTCTCTATGTTAAAATAATGCAGATACCACTGGTCCATAGCATAGACATATTCAATAACAATAACAGCTATAATTTGAAACAATTGGCTGGTTTGACATTTTAATTGATTATTGCAATATTTTCACATTGATTTTGTAATTTATTTGTTAATTTTATTTTTAATTATTAATAATATGAAAATAATGTGGTCTAATAAACCCATAAATCAATATACTGTTAATAAAATTGTATTTTATGTGTAGTTAATTAAATATATTCATCAACAGTTTGTGACTCCTCTTTCCCAACAAGTTGCTCAATGGTGCTTTATTTCTGAAAAAAATATGTGAGAAATTAATATTACACTAAAACAACCAAATACTTTATATAATAATTGTTGTGGTTATTGTTCGACACTGGATTCCAACGTTTTAAATGCAATTAATCCAAACAACATTACACATGATTATGTACACATAACATTCTTGCCAGGCACAGATTTTCTGGGGGGGGGCATACCCCCAGAAATGATTTGCAACCCCCTCCCCCCCCCCAAGAGGCATTTGGCACTGCCCCCCAAAGTTTTTGCACCCCCACAAATTATATATATTTTGATTTGATGGTTTCATATTTGATTATTCTTACTACTAAATTTGTAAAATTATCAATATTATGGTCTCAATCTTGCCATGCAGACATAGAAAACAAATTTTGTTAAACTTTTTCCTTGGCCTTTCCAGGCGTTGCCACCAGGCCCCGGCCAAAGCAAGCAGCATCACCCCCCAGATATTTATCCCCCCCGAACAAAAATATGAAAATCCTTCTCTGATTCTTGCTAACAATAAGTTTACATGAACCTTGCCTGCACCCAACCCTAACACCTCAACTGGCCCTCATCCTAACCGGTAAGGCCCCCTGTTTGCACAAAGCCAGTCAGAATGCTCTTGAAATTCCACTCATTTGAACCCAGGACATAAGCAGATATATACTTAACTAACAATGAAGGTGATAGTCGTCAGTTGACAACTTACGGGCCCGAGGACTTGCTTGAATTCAACTGAAATTTATTTTATATCACTTTGGCATGTTGAAAGAATGAGGAAAATAGTTCACTTAGACAAATAGCATGTAAATATTGGGGTTTGGTGCCAGGCAAACAACCACTGTCTAAAATATTTTCCTCCAAAAATACATGAATTACCAACATCAAGTATCATCTAAGCTGCAGAGCTTCCCCATTGACGAGTGATATTGTCTGGCTTTAGAAAGCAAAAAAAAAGTAGGGCACACTGGGGCGCATTGCGGCTCAATAGGTTAACTAGAGACATTGTCAGTTTTTTTTGGTTAACCGATAAGCTATGTACAGAGCTTCCCCATTGACAAGTAAAATCATCTGGCAAGTAAAAAAATAAATAGGGCGCATTGCGGCTCAACGGGTATTTTATGAAATTGATTTTACTCATGCAATTTCTAGAGAAAATGCTACAGGCCTCTAAACCTGATCTTATATATGAAACTAGCTTTGATCTTATATATGCCTGATCTTATATATGAAACTGCCAATTTTTGGATCTAGACTTGATAATTCTACACATTAGTCATTATAATTTCATTGCCATCAGTGGCCAGTTATAAAGTACATGGATTAAATCATTCAAAGCCAAGCCATGATAGTTCTGGCTTAAAAAGGTCTTCCTCTATAGGTATACTAATATAATAGAAACCACTTTAATTTTAATAAGTATGATCATGAAGCAGATGGTGGTCGACTGGCATTTTATATCGTAAAATTTGAAATAACAAATGAAACTAAAATCTGAAATTTCAACCATTTTCTTTCGAGGAAGACTGTTTCTCGTATTAATATAATTTGGACAACCTAACTGTATACATCAGTTGCTAAAATTGTCCACTACACAGTACAAATGGGCTGTTTATTTCGCTTTGTTTTGACATACTCTATCACAAATTAATATTGAACATATAAACAGTATTTTTTTACCTTTACAAATAACGTCTTTCCAAAATTTCTTGAGGTTTGAAGATTCGTTCCCTGTCTTTCACTAGCCAGGATGATTCTTACCACTTGTGCAACTCGAAACAAATGTTAAAATGTCGAAGAGAAGGCAAACACCGAGGCAAACTTCAAAACAAAAAGCTAAAATATTTTTGTGAAAATCAGGGGGATGAGAAAGTGGTAGCGGGCTCAAAATGAGCCTTGCTCAGTGGTAATTACCACGAGGATTTGGGACCAGTGGCGTCATTCTGGCGTCAGCAAACGTGAAAATCCTTGAAAATCCGCCATGTTTTTGGCTTCACTTGCTTGACTGAAGAGAGATAGGAGCACTTCCTCCAGATATATTATAGCTCAGTGATGACCACCCACGCACAGTGACCCACGCCCGCGATATTTGATGAACTTTAGACTTGGCTAATGCTTTCGTTTCCCCGGGTGTAAATAGCCGGGGGGAATTAGTACCCTCGCACGGCGCTTCGCGCCGCCGGCTTGGGGATTACCACAAACACTGTTTTGCACCTGCCCATATTTGTAATTTTCAGGATTGGCCTACAATTGTGCAATGGACTATGAAATTATAGTCATTGTGTCGCAGAAAATAGAAAGTCAAAAATTTTCTGGGGAAAGGAGGAGGCTCCGAGCCCCCCTTGGAGGTTTCTCGCGCCTTCGACCTATGAACGCGAGACGCATCCGTTGCATGTTTGTTGTCGGCATCTTAAACTCCCTAATCCAGCTTGGAATACATCTAGATACGTGATGACCACCGCATTTTTTTCACATAGCTTGCTCTCACCAAGCGCATGCATGTGGTCTACGGTGACATTAATGCATCCAAATGTGCGCAAAGTGTCATGGGCCAAAGTGCTCAAATGACCATAAGGGAAACCAAATTTTGGAAATTTATCTAAAAAACACTATTGGTTAATGAGGCAAACTGTAGATAAAATTAGATAGATAGATCAACTTTATTTAAACACATTGGCCTTTTCAGCAAAAGCTGATTTCCAAAAGGGATGTGTACTTACAAATTATTATTTATATACTAGCTCTAATATTACATACATAACAAATACAATTATATACCTATTTAGACAAAAAATTAACTACTACTTTAAGTCGAGATTAAGGTCGAGGAAGATAGCTTTTTACAGAACGAATTATACGATACCGAATTGCGTATCTCTTCAGGTATCTGATAAATTGGTGTGTAAATTTGTGTGTAAAATAAAGCAAGAGAGTATAGGCGTAGCAACATATATCGCCTGTCAATATCTCAAGGGCTAATTATATAGCTTGTACTGAATAACGAAAGAAAATGCATAAACCACATGTACTGTTGAACCATATTTCCTGCTTCCTTACGCCAATCTTGAGCAAATTTTCATCAGGTATGACTGCATGTTTTTCAGTCTGCTCGCAATCCGAAATTTTGCTCAAAGGTGGAGGCTGCAAGCAAGCCGTGTTTTTGTGCAGTCAGAAAAAAACTTAATCGGTACATAGCTCAACAATTCCCTAATTCGGTATTAAATAAAAATTA